AGCTAACCCTTAACCTAACGCTAACGCTAACGCTCTAAAGCTAACCCTTAACCTAACCCTAACCCTAACCCTTACCTTTATGTGAATCGGCTTGCTTTAATTTAATTTTTATTAATTTTTATTTGAATTTTTCGATCTTTTTCGTCGCGCTGTGATGACGTCAAAGGCGCGATTTCGTCGATCGCGCTTTTGCCGTCCGCGCTTTTGACGGGTCACGCTTTTTACTGTATCAGGAAGCCTAGGTCAGAACATCTTTTCTTAATAGTTTCCACTAGAAAGTTCTCTGTCCTCAGCCATGATGAGACCTTTCTCTTACATGCCAGGGGAACATCATTTTAGGGAGGGTTGCTTTAAACTCGGACTTTGGAGAGGTTAAATGTATCATTTATTGTGGCCAATCTGGGTAGAAGAAATTTGGTCTACAGTAGAGAGATCATGCCCACTTCTGAGAAATAGCTGTAAGAAAACAGATTCTTACCTTAGTATCTCTGCTGAGCATAATAAACCATAAAATGGAAGCCCAAGCGGTGGCAATTTGGTTGGCATTGGAAACAATCACCACTGGCAAGGTGGATGTCTGATGATGAAAAAAGGTTAGACAAGAGGGAATTGATACAAACACACCACAAAGGTACTCCAGGTCATTGTACACTACAAAGGACTTATTGCTCTATTTGTAGGTCCATCCAGTGACATAAAAGCAAGATGTGCAGACACAATTCCAACCACAATGGATTATAGCCGTTCTCAGGTAGTTCTTGAGGAGGGACAGTGTAGTGGCAATGCAGAAAGATAATAGTTATTTCGAGAGTTAGTAACATATTTTGAATCCTCCTTTATATTAAGAAAAGTCTAGAAATTTAGACTCATATAGAAAATAGGTGATAATGTTTGTTTATACATCAATTCTATATAGCTGTCCATCTCATAAGAAGCAACAAATGTTGAGTCTTTTGGTTTTATAACCACCGAGAGAAGGGATGTATCTTATGCCATCACTGACCAGAAACAGATCAGAGGAGAATCTAGTTCACGGGTCTCCAACCTTAGCAACTTTAAGACTTGTGGACTTCAACTCCCAGAGTTCCTCAGCCAGCTGGCTGAGCAACTCTGGGAGTTGAAGTCCACAAGTCTATAAGTTGCCAAGGTTGGAGACCCCTGATCTAGTTAACCAGGATCTCCCCAAATTCAGTCTAAGTTTCCCTGATGCCATAATGCCAATATGAAATAATAACAACAACAATAATAATAAATAATAAAAAACAACTGAAATGTACAATTTATTGATATCGCGGGAACAGGAGACGCCAGAAACAAAGAAAAAGAACTGGAAAAAATAACAAAATATTGCAACATGCCCATCGAAACTATGCGATTATGGATGAAATATGTAACAGCAATACCCATTGTCATTGAGGCACTTGATACCATGACCAAGAATTTTACAAAATACATCAATAAATTGCAGCTTCCTGCAATAACACCAGCAGAACTGCAAAAAAAAACTATGGTACTCGGAATATCGTATATTTTAAGAAGGTATGTGGTTGATACCTAGGATGCTGGAAGCAACCCGTATCAACCATTTGCACCAGTCAATGGTATTTATGACGCATTATTGAATGTTCAGTTGACTTGAGTTTCATGTTTAATGAATAAAGTAAATAATAATGGTAAAAATTAGCACCAGTCAATGGTATTTGTGACACATCTTTAAATGTTCAGTTGACTGAGTTTCATGTTTAATGAATAAAAGAAAAAATAATAATAAATAATAATAAAGCTGTCCCCCCTCCTAAATTTAATGGAATCAAGAAGATTCTATTACCTGTAGCTCGCACTTGATATCTTGATAGCAGTAGTCCAGGGTGAAAGTGATAACGTGCAATTCTTCGGTGACAGACAATGATCCCTATCACCCAAACCCCAGGAGAAAATGAACAGAGGCTGATCAGAGCTCATGAGGCTATTGCGTGCCATGCTTTCAGGTTTTACTGCAGCACTAGCTTACAAGAGATATGTTCCCTTTAGTGGCTGACAAGTTGGTTTTGTTTATACATTCAAAGAAAAGAAAGAGATCGGTGAAGGGATTCCTCACCTTACAATGGCAATTAGGAGCAGAACTTCCATCTCCAAGCAGAGGCCATAAAGGGCAATGCCGTTGCTTAGCAATGGCAATCCCTGCAATCCTGGTCCCAGCAATCCCGGATCCTGTCCTATCGCTAGGTAAGGCAGTTTCTTTCTAGCTTCCCACAACCAAAGTAAGCGAGGAAATTAGTTAAGAAGTTCTGTGTCCAGGTCTGCAGGCAGGTAAAATGGCATGGGTTGGCTGCATAAGGAGATATGTGAGAGGCACAGGGAGGGTGCTCAAGAGGATGAAGGGATGCGCAAGAGGCACAGGTTGGGGAGGGTTAGTGAAAGACCAGGCTGGGCACGATAAACAACTGTGGGAGGCACAGATCAGAGCATGTGTGCGACTGACTGGTGTGAACACAGAAATGATGGGGGTGGGTGGGCTTATCTCAGTGACTTGTAACCTTCCCGGCCAATTTCTCCACTGACTTTCTAGAGCAGAGGTGTCAAACTAGTGGCCCATGGATTGTATGTGTAATGCACTGGCCATTCCCACCCCCGTTTTAGTGAAGGGGGGGGGAAGTCGCGATACATCACATGATGACGTTTGATACCCCTCTTCTAGGGAGAAGCTGGAAGAGAAGGCTGAAAATGGTGAACATGGGATTATAGGGTGCTTGACAACCAATTTTAAGTGGGAAAGTATTGCCAGGCACCCAAACCATGGACATGTGATCATGGGGATACTGAGATAGCCAGAACACTGAGGACTGGTAGCAGAGGTGGTATTCAGCAGGTTCTGTCCAGTTCTGGAGAACCAATAACAGAAATTTTGAGATATATATATATATATAAAATAATAAATAAATATAAATATTTTATATTTATATTTGTTTTGTTAAGATACAACCTGTTGTGCCTTAAAATGGCTTATACCGTACTGCATTAAAATGGCTTCTACTGTA